GCTAGGTTAGGCCACAATACCAGCCAGACGACATTAGGGCTGGGACTGGGGGCTGGCAGGGTTGTTTAGGCTGCAGCCCCCACCAATGTGAGCTGGAAGGGATTAGGCCAGGCCCAGCACCCAGCAACCCCTGGCAAATGCTGAGGTGAGGCAAGCCATGCCAGACAGGGCCACAGCACTGAAACAGCACACACAAGACCTGGTGGGAGACTGGGGTGAACCCAGTAGGGAGGTTATGAGGGCCCCTATGCTGGGCAACTAATCCCACTGGTGAGTGTAAGAGCTGGGATCCAGGCAGACCAGGCTGGGTAGGGTTACAACATCTGGTGACCCACATGAGAGCTGGATCAGGGGAAAGCCAGGCTGGCCTGACTATACCTTTTGGTGCATGCATAAGCCAGAGTGGGTGTGAGTGTATTGGTCTTTGCTGCAGCAGTAGCTGGAACATGTTGGAATGGTGGCAAATTCTGTCAGGCTAAATAACATAGCCACTGGATAGTGCAAGATCTGGGAATGGGAGTGGCCCCAGTAGGGCAACAATGGGTTCCTTCCTCTTGGGTTGCCACTCCCTCTGGTGAGCATGAGAACCAGGACAGTGCCTATTTCAATACAAATAATCTCTTCCTTTGTAAAAGTCTTATAGATATCAGTGAAATAGCTTGTTGTTGTTAAGTAACTGAAAAACAATACTTGGTGAGAATAACTAAGAATGTATTCACACCTGTAGAGATCGTTAACTGGAGTTTCCCTTCAGATGAGGCTTGATTTAGGGCTCAAATGAAGAGAACACCAGGAACTCTGTTTCCTTCTGTATCACTATATTTCTGTCTCCATTTCAATCTTTCCTCTGTTTATTCACCTTACCCTTCCAGTGTTTACTCTATATAAGAAAAAATATATTCTTATGGGATCTGCATGTGAGTATTTGGGTTCAGCTAATGCAGCACCCCATTATGAGTGCCAATTCAAGTCTTCTTGCCCCACCTCCAATCCATCTGTGTTATAATGGCCTGGGAAAAACAGAAAAAGATGGATCAGGCACTTGGACCCTTGCCCCTATGTAGGAGACATGACAGAAATCCCTTCCTCCTAGGGCCAGCACCATGGCTCAATAGGCTAATCCTCAGTCTATAGGTGTCAGCATCCCATATACGCCCCTGTTCTAGTGTCAACTGCTCCATTTCCCACCCAGCTTCCTGCCTGTGGCCTGGGAAAGTGGCAAGGGATGATCCAGTTCCTTAAGCCCCTGCACCCACCTTGCAGACCCACATGAAATTTCTGGCCTCATATGGACTCACTTCTGGCCATTACAGCCGTTTGGGGAGTGAACCAATGAATCGAAGATTCTCTCTCTCTCTTTCCTCTCTATAAATCCACCTTTGAAATAAATAGCACATAAGAAAGAAAGAAAGAAAGAAAGAAAGAAAGAAAGAAAGAAAGAAAGAAAGAAAGAAAGAAAGAAAGAAAGAAAGAAAGAAAGAAAGAAAGAAAAGAAAAGAAAAGAAAAGAAAGAAAGAAAGAAAGAAAGAAAGAAAGAAAGAAAGAAAGAAAGAAAGAAAGAAAGAAAGGAAGGAAGAAAGGAAGGAAGGAAGGAAGGAAGGAAAGGGAGAGAGAAAGAGAGAAAGGAAGGAAGGAAGGGAGGAAGAAAGCAATTCATTAACTCCTGGCTCTTCACTGTGGCCTGGCCTAGTCTCAGCTGTGACCATTTGAGAAGTGACCCAGAGAATACAGCTTTTTTTTTCTCATTTTTTCCTCTCTCTTTGATTCTATGACATTCAAGTAGAAATATAAATACAGACATAAATACAAATACCAGCCCAGTGTGGTAACAAAAGAGCCCAGAGTGGTTTCTTCATCTCTAGTGCTAAACTGACATTGATGGGCCTGGTACAGTAGCCAAGTGGCTAAAGTCCTCGCCTTGCATGTGCCAGGATCCCATACAGGCACTGGTTCTAATCCCAGCAGCCCCACATCCCATTTAGCTCCCTGCCTGTGGCTGAAAAACACAGTTGAGGACGGCCCAAAGCCTTGGGATCCTGCACCCACGTGGGAGACCTAGAAAAAGCTCCTGACTTCGGATCAACTCAGCTCAGTTGCAGCCATGTGTGGAGTGAATCAATGGATGGAAGATCTTCCTCTCTATCTCTCCTCCTCCCTGTATATCTGACTTTCCAATAAAAATATGCAAATAAATAAATCTTTAAGAAAAACAAACATTGATGAAACAATGACTTTCTTCAGTCTTCTGTCATGATATAAATCATCAATAAACTTGATCAATAAGAATCTATTTCTAGAACTTAGAAGGTGGTCAAATAACTTATATGCCTACGAATTGTTTCAAAAATTCAAAGCGGGGAAGGTACAAAAGAATGGTTGGAAACCAAGCATTGTTCACAAATGCTGTAACATTTTTGCCTTGATTGTAGAGATATTGGCTTAGTGTATGAAATGGTTAAAGGAGTAAAACAAGGATTAATTATGTGCACAGCTATTCTTTCTGAACTTGTTCGGGAAATATTTTCCTATGCTCGTGACTGCACCTGCAAAATATGAATTTAAACCTATAAATTATAAGTGTTGTGCTTATTGCTTGAATCTGCAACACCTCATTCAGTCAAGTTCTGTTACTGAGATATGTACTATTTTTATAGGTTTATTTGTTTTTTATTGGAAAGTCAGATATATAGAGAGATGGTGAGACAGAAAGATCTTCCATCTGCTGGTTCACTGCCCAAGTAGCCGCAATGGCGGAGCTGAGCAGATCTGAAGCCAGGGAACAGAAGCTTCTTATGGGTCTCCCACTTGGGTGCTGAGTCCCAAGACTTTGGGCCATCCTTCACCGCTTTCCTCGGATGGGAAATGGGGTGGCTAAGAGATGAACTGGTGCCCACATAGGATCCTGTTGCGTGCAAGGTGAGGGTTTGCACACTAGGCTGCCATGCCGGGCCTGATATACATAATTTTTTAAAAACTAATGAATTTAATAATAATTGATGAGAAAATGTAAACATTTTCTTGGATAAATTCTGAGAATGACTGTCCAAAATATTTAGGTGAAGAATGATTATCCTAAATTTGAGATTAATTTCGATAAAGTAGAAAACAATGATTATATCCATGAGAAACTATTGCATGGTAAAATGTTTCAGTAACGCTTATTTAATCCTAGAGTTTGTTTGTTCGAGGGCGAGGGACACAAAGAAAGAAAAGCAGAAATTGAAATTTGCCATCTGCTGCTCTGCTCCCCACATGTTCCCAGTGGCTGGGAGTCGACCAAAATACTCATGATAATTCAGTCCAGGTCTCCCATCTGGATGGCAGATACCAGCATCACCCCTTTCATCCACGCAACTGTCTTGAGAAGAGACTGGAATAACGAACCGGCACTGGGAGTTGATGCTTGTTACTTAGACATGCAACGCAGGCTTCTCTAAACAATGACTGTAGGCCCAGGACGAAGTACGACCCAGCGTTAGCATTTTAAACAGGTCCCAGTGTATGAATCTCCTGTGCCTCAATTTTTTTCTTTTAGACCTCAACAAAGTTGTTCATGTATTATGGAGTTACAGCTGGTGACGTGGAACATCACTTTGCTGAGACATGACTCTGCTAGTTGGGAAGGAAATTATCATCAAATTGTTATTTGTTAAGCAAGAAATATTCATATTAACATTTCACAGTATACAGAAGTAGTGAAAAACACCTCACAACTAAATCTTCACAACAACTTGAGATGAGAGATGGACAGCTAATCTTTTCTCAATATATAGATACTGAGGGTTTCCAGGGAGCTGTCGTAGGATCGGGCAGAGTTAACATGCAGTTAACATGGAGCTCACCGAGGCAGGACCCCAGCTGGGAATAGCCAATAGGAAATCTGAATATCTATTGAATGAATTAATTAAATCTTGTCTTTTACAAAAATCAGTGCTTTCCCTTCAGCTAAACTGTTGCTGTGGCTTTAGTAGATTAAAAAAAAAAAAAATACATCCATTTGTGGGGCCCAGAACAGTTTACAGGAGAAAAAAAAGAGAGAAAGAAAATGCTTTTCCAGAACTTCAACATTCCTCCTTTGAGGACACAGGCTACTTGTTTGCAGTAATTTCCACTTTGCACAATCGATAACAGTTGAGCAGGCTCTCATTCTACAGGATTTTTAAAAGCCCATGTCTTTAGCAAAAAGCAATCATGAATGTATTCAGATTTATTTCTAAAGAGTTTTTCAAAACATCTTTTTTAATGCTTTCTTTGTCGAGAAGAAAGCAGATGAGATAAAACATGGCAAGTTGAGCCCCCAGATCTGGAAACAAAATACAGAGCCCTCATCTGGCAGTTGACAACAGCTAGATGCATATTTAGCCATCTGCAAAGAGAGCCTCTCCTTTAGAAGTCTATTGGCGAAGTTAGAAGCAGAGGTAAGATTCAGCCCATGGCTTTCCTCCCACCGCAGGTAGCTTAACTACTTTAGCTTTATCCCGCGTGGTCCAACAAGACCTGACAGACGGCGCAGCTACACACGCAGCATCTCTCGGGCGGCGATGCGTATAGACGGAGGGATTTTTTAGTCAATTGCAGGAATTAGGCTTTAATACTTTGTACGAAAGACGTCATACCCCAGATAGCTGCCTGCTATCCGCAGAATCTTGGCAGGCAATGAGACTGCTCAAGCTGAAACTGGGAAGCTGTGTTAAGCAGATTTTCACGAATGTACAAAAAGCTCTATTTGCAAAGCTGCTTTTCTTTGTGGCAGTTCAAACTGCTTTCTTTCTTCCTATCGGTTTCTTTTGTTATTTCTCGCTATTTTAATCTCTTGGTTTGGTCAACTCTTAGTCTTTAAATTCTTTTCTATAGAAAAAAAAATAAATATATAACTGCTCATCTCATCAAATTCACTTGTTTTTAAAGAATAATCCTAGGCATGTCATTTTAAGAGATTCAAAAATGATCATAGCCCTTACAAAACTACAAGACACACAGAACGACATGTAATACTTTACCATTGTTTGGAAGTACCAGAGGGGTACAGATGTCATTTTTGGTGTTAGCTTTGGGTGCAGAGATTAATTTTGCAACGAGCGATGCGGAGATGGGCTGTACCAGCAGGGAGGTGAGGTTAGATCGGCTTTGTCTAAAACTCCCATCTGTATGCAAAAGGGAAAGCAACACAAGAACGGTCAATAAAAATCTAAAATAATGCACAAGAAGGTTTTTTTAAATAATTTGAATTATGAGCACATGTTTACATTTCTTCATCTGCCAGTTACCTTTTTTTTTTTTACTACATATACTTTATACTCGTTTAAAATGTTAAAAAAAAAAATAGATGTTTAGCCTTTCGGAGAAGATGCCCACACTGCAGAATGAAGTGTGTGATTTGGGAAGCTGGATTCAGGCTCTGACTTCTGCGCCCCATCACAGACTCTGGGAAGCAGTAGTGGCGGCACAGGTGGTTGGGTCCTGTCACATATACACAAGATCTGGATTGAATCCCCAGTTTCTGGATTGCTCTGGCCCCAGATTTCAATTGTGCAAACCTTTGAGAAATGAGCCAGTGGCTAGGACTGTTTCTCTTTCTCTCTCTCTCTCTCTCTCTCTCTCCCTCTCTCTTTCTGTCTTCCCTTCTGTGTGTATATCTATCTACAATATTTTATACTAAAAATCCAAATATAATTTTACATCCTGGTTAAAGTCAGCAGATTTACACATAGCCTTATTAGATTCCCTGTGAATATCACTAACATGACCACAAAGCAATCATAAATCCCTAGAGAGCAACAGAATACACAGTAATGAAGTCACAGCTGTTGGAAAGCAGATGAGCACACATCAGCTGATGATAAAGACCAGAGGAGATCACAACAGGGCAGGTAAGAAAGCAAGCAGTCTGAAGCACACATCCTTAAAAGCCTTCCCAGGGGACACCAGTTCTTGCAACATTAAGCATGACCAAAGGTGATGACAGTAGGAATCCTCTGAGGGATTCTAGGAACACCCTGTACACTCAGCTTAGGGAGTCCCAGAAGACCACTGAGAGAGAGATGCTCCAGGAGACACCAGAGGCAGTGAAGTAGATAATAGTTGAAGCTAATGGTTTTACAATTGCTGAGAATTTTCGGATCCCAGGTGCTCTTGGTACCCATAACCATTCCCAACTGGCAGGGTCACAGAAGGGCCACTGGCACAATGTTGAACTTGTAACTGTTGCTGGAGGTATATATGTATCACTGTAATAATAAGGGAGGGAGGAGTGGATGGGGAAGGTGACAAGGAGGTGGCATGGCAGGAGGAATTCCTACACCTACAAAATTGTACCATGGAAACTAATAAAACTATTAAAAAAAAACTAATGAGAAAAACTTTATGACTGGGTCAATTGAAAATATTTTAAAATACTGGACATAGGAGGTAGACTAAAAAAAATCACTCAAGTTATCTTATGCTGAAACACCACTGCCCATCACTGCCCATCATCTTCATTAGCTATTCTGTATATGAGCTTATGGCCCAGGGCAGTTCCAACAGGGCAATGGGACACACAGTGACCAGTGACGATGGGAGCAGGAAGTCTGGAGACCCAGGGAGGAAAGTCACAGAAAAATGAATTTCATTGAAATACCAGATGTATGTGATTGTACTGAGAGAATGTTTATAGAAGATGAGATTCAAAGAGAACGCAAATATAGAGAATGCAAATGTATAAAATGAAACAACCGTATGTTTAAAGGGAGTAAAAATGTGTCAAAGGGAATGTATTCACGATGCATTAGTAAAATTTACAAAGTCATCATAATAAATACAGTGTTTGTAGGTTTAACACAAAATTGGGAATTTTTTTTTTTTTGCACGCACACACACACACAAAAAGAGAAAAAGGACAAAAACTAAGGAGTGATGGTCATTGCAACTTTCAAATATTAGAACTTTATATTTCAGAGACCATGCAATGGAAAAAGGGGGACATTTTTGAAGTAAATTTAAGCATGCCATATAGAGACGGACAAGTAAATGTTTAAAAAAAAAAAAGGTAACCACCAATGATGTTCAAAGCTATCAAATATTTGGCCTGAGAAGACAAAAGGGAGAGGAGAGTAAATAACAAAAACAAACATGATACCACATATGAAATCAAAATACACAACTGAAGGTAAAGAGGAGAAAAAGAATAAACTAAACTACCTTTAATAAAACAGCTCAAAAGTGCCCAGTTTATACATTTTCTACCAACTTTGAAGGAAATATACAATGGAATGGCTCTGTCAGATTGCCAATAATGTTTCTGAACGCAATGCTATATTTTTCAGAACTTTTATTAGGGAAAATAATTGCTAAAGGTTTTTCTCTGAATTTAATTTGATAGGACTGCAGGGGGTGCAGAACTCAATGATACTGGAACCATGACTCCAGGAGGGGATTATAAATGAGAAAAATATGTTACAGAAATGTTCCTTTAATTCATCATCCAAAAAATACCATCAGGCTAAAAAAAAATGATATTTAGCTTAGGTCTATGGCAGTCCAGAAAATCATGATTTTCAAGGAAAAGATAATAAAGATATAAGGTTGGAATCCATTTTGCTATATAAACAGACAGCTGTTACCATAATTTAGTAACACCTTATATGGATATACGACAGTGTGTTTGGGTCACAGTGCATGTCATTATTTCCCAACCATTTTCATATCATTGTTCCATGACTGGCTGTATAATTTCCAGGACCCAGAGCAAAAATGGAACCACTTGTGCAAGATATATGAAGAATTTCAATGCAGGGATGGCAGCTCATGAAATAAAGTTTGCAGTTCTTTTGAGAAGCTAGTCTGTGAGATGGGTCATATAATTATGATCCTCGCCCTCATGGTTCACACATAGAAGATACTGGAAGCCATAAAGACTGCTGGGATACAGTGCAAGGAAATTCTAGTCTACAAAGTGGCTGCTGGATGACCAACCACGAGTCCCCTTCTGCTTGAAGCTGCATCTGAAATCAAAAGTGGTCCATGTCTTAAACACAGATGTGCACGGAGGCTCAGCCATAGTCATTTATCAGCACATATCTTTCTCCTCTACCCCTTTACTTCTGCCCCTTTTATGGCACATGTACATGATGAAATCTGAAGTCACATTTTCATGCATGTTAGGTTACTGACACACTGCCAATAAAAGAAAAATAACCTGAAACCTTTCAAGGTCCTATATGATTCTAATAGTTGACTCGCGTACCAAGCAGGCTCTTTCTTAATCATAAATCTTTGATTCACAACATTATTTCTTATCACTCACCGCACACATTATAATTAAACTTTCCCCTAAAACATGCAGTTTCGTCCCTTCGTTATTGCAGATATTACCTTGACCTGTACTCACCCCCTCTTGTGTACCCCACGGTTCTAAAGCACACACGTCCTCCAAACCCGTGCACTCGCCACCTTCTACGGAAGCTGTCGCTGCCCCTTGCACTTGGTGTGCCACATTTGTTCCTTTCCTGCATTACTTGTCATTTCCACTGAACACTATCACTATGGAAAATGATTTAATTTCATTTTTCCACTTCTAAATTCCCTGAGAAAAAGGACTACAACATCTACATCTTTCTGTCAGCAACATGGAAGACAAAAATCAGTGAACAAAAAAGTCAGCAGTTAGTTTTGAAAATAGTTTCAATGTTTTGGTCTTCTTGATTTTCTGATTGCTTACAAAAATGCAGAAAGGGCATGACTGAAGAAGGAATTATAATTCTTTGTTTGCTACGCAGTGATGCTTTCTTCCCAGCTAAGTACTGTGCTCCCCGAGCAAGCATATTAAATAAACTTCCAAAACCCATCAATTCACTGATTAACCTTGCTGTAAAATTACCATTTGTAGATAAAATGCATTGCACTAAATAAATTACTTTTAAAATAAATTTATCTGTTCTTAAAAAATCAATAATTACCTTCCATTTTTCCTTACAATGCTTTATTAACTATATAAAACAATGTGTTCCAAAGTTAAATATGAGTAAACGCCAAGCCATAATTGAACATAGGTAAATCTTTTAATTCTTTTTGTACTATGTGACTAATAGACTTGCATTAATTTTGAAATATCTGAAATAAGCGGTTTATTCATTTTTCACCTTCATCTTTAATGGAAATTTCATGAATAGTCCATTTTTGAGAATAAATACCAAAACTTGGACTTTACAGGGCACTAAGATTAAATTATAGACAATAGTTTTTTCTTTTTTTTATAACTCCATACACTAAAGAAAAGGTGAGAGAATTTCAATGTCTTACATTATTAAGATGGTTTGAGTACAAACACATATACCATTTTTTTAAAGTTTATTTATAGACAGAGAGGAGGCGAGGCAGAGAGGAATATCTTCCATTCATCCATTTACTCCCCAAGTGGCCGCAATAACCAGGAGTGAACTGATTCAAAGCCAGGAGCCCAGAGCCGCTTCTGGGTCACCAAAACAGGGGCAGAGTCCCAAGGCTTTGCGCCATCCTCGACTGCTTTCCCAGGCCACAAGCAGGGAGCTGGATGGGAAATGGTGCTGCAAGGACATGAACTAATACCCATATGGGATTCTGACACATGCAAGGCAAGGACTTTAACCACTAGGCTACCGCACCAGGCCTCACATGTACCATCGTTGCACAGATTGAGGCACATTCATGAATTGTGAGGTTCTATTAGATAGCAGATGAAAACTGGATAATCATGTGCTTTGATGCAAAGGATATCATACAGAAAATTCTGTAGCATTACATTTTAGCACTCTTAAAATGCAACATCTCATCTCTTACCCATTGCTTGAACGCCATCAAGATTGACAAACAGCAACTCTGACTTCACTGGATCTCTGATTCCTGTTATATCCTTGTTGTTATTCAAATAAAAATCCAGGCACAACTATTACAGCAATAATTAGATCTCTGATACAATGCTAACTGCATCTAGTACAATGAAAAAACTGAATATGCAAATTAATTTGCCTGATTACATCAGTAACACATTGTTCAAAATCTAACAAAGAACTGTACTATGACAATATTGTTATCTACTAATCTAAAACTACCAAGGGGACGCTGAAGAGTCTGTTTTGCTGACATCTTGAAATTAAAGAGCTCAGAGAAATGTTTAAATCATACCGAG